TCTTTCCTTCTCCTGTTGTGCTTTTTTTCCATCTGGTTTAGATCATTATTAAAATGTAAAAATGTTACTTACTAGGATAGCACACACACATCACCTTTACCCACATTTCATACCTCAGCAACAACTAGTTTCCCAGATGCGTCTTTATAGAAAACAGAGCTCCAAGGAAATGGGACCCAGGATAGGTAAGAGTTTCAGGGCCGAGGGCTGCATGCAGCACTGGCGTGGCTCCCGCGGACAGATCTCAGGAGGGCCCTGCTGCCGCGGAGAGGAGGGGTCGTGGGGCCTGGTGCCCAGCAGGAGAGACAGGTGCCACACTCTCAGCTTAGCCTCAGAGTGTCATCTTGACTCAGTCCTGGTTGCTGCAGAAGTCAGTGGTGGTGACCAGCACCTCTTAGTTCCAAGGGTTGGCAACACACACAGCGGCCTCTCAGCCTCTCCTGCCGCCTGTTAGGAAGTGATGCCATCTAGACATAATAAGAATCTCTCTTTTTAAATTGAAGTTCAACAACTCAAAACCTGGTGGTCTCAGAATTATAAACTGCTAAATGTTAGTGATGGAAGGAAATCATTTCTACTGTGACCATGCATATAATAAAAAACTCTCTTTCATTTCTCCACTTTCCAGGCAATTGCAACATGACTTTCCCAGGGCCCTGATTTTCAGCACGGATGATTTTTTCTTCAGGGAAGATGGTGCCTATGAGTTCAATCCTGACTTCCTGGAGGAAGCTCATGAATGGAACCAGAAAAGAGGTGACAAATTCCTTTCCAAACTCCTGGGAAACCCTATTCTGCATATAGATAGTAGCTGCTGCAGAATGTATAAATTTTATGGAAGAAGCTTAATCAAAAATTCTGCCATTTTTCCCCTCAAAAAAGAATGCCAGAATGTAACCTCCTTAGATTCCAGGAAAAAGAAAATTATTGATAATGGTTTCTGAAATAGGTGGCATTAAAGTTGTGTAATGAGGACATCCTGTAATAAAGATGACAAAATATGGATTACGCTCGCCCTTTTCTCTGATTGTTACATGTTGTTCACTGTTATATAACATTGTGTTGCAGCCAGAAAAGCAATGAGGAATGGCATATCCCCCATTATTATTGATAATACCAACCTCCACGCCTGGGAAATGAAGCCCTATGCAGTCATGGTAGGAAGAAGTATCATTCTGAATTTTCAGTTATGGACATTTTGTGAGAAAGTTGAAACATTTGTTCTTTCCTTTTTTCCTGATCTTCCATAATTTTATATTTACTAACAGTAGTTCTCCCAAGGAGCAGGTAAAGAGGTTTTATTTTAGGTTTCTCTGCTGTTCAGTGGCTGAAATTTGCTGAGATGCTGATCTCACCATGGGGTACAATTTGTAAATAGTCTTTGGTAAATGGTTGTTGGTCTGAATTCTTGATAGCTTTTCCATCTTGGTTATTTTCCTAAGGGGAGGCTTACAGAGGAACACCCACTGAAACTTGTAGAGAAATATTGGACTAAATGAGACTAAATGATGCTACTAGCGGAGTTACAGGTTATAATAGGACAGTCCTGCCTTTGGCAAGCCAGGCAGTTCAGCACTGTGTACTGTTGCTGCCTGGGACTTCCAGGAACAACAGAATTTTTTAGTTGAAAAACAGATTTAGGATTAACACTGTAACTTTATGAAGACAAATATGTGTATATACATACACACACCTATATATGTATATATGTATTTATATACAAATATAAATACACATATAACTCAGCTCTCCATGGTCACAATGAAAAGGACAGTAAGTTGAATGTAACAATGTGCACATTATTCTTTAATTTTGAAGTACATTTGATCTTTTTCAGATGTACTTCATCTCTTATGATAATAAAGTAAGTTTATAAATAAGGAGGAGGAAAGATTGGATATAGAAATGAGAAAAGATCCAGAAACATACAGGGTGGGGCAGGAAGCAGACAGCTGGTCCCTACTTGGTAAATTGTGGAGTAAATACCTCCCAAACTGGGCTCATGGCAATCTATTTTTAGGCTTCTTTTGAAAATTTGGGCAAAATAGCATAACCACAGGTGTGCTTTTCTCTCATGATACTTTCATCAGTTCTACTTAGGCTCTGGTTGTGGGACTTTGGCGAGTGGAAGAAAGAATGAGCGTTAACTTGTGGTTACTTCAGTTCATGATGGACCGTCCACTTGGGCGAGAAATGAACAGGGACATGAAGAGTCGAATTAATTAAGGCACAACTTAAAACAAGAGTTAGGGATTATCTGAGAGTGGATTAAGGGAAGTCATTTTACTTTTTATTTTCTGGATATGTACAATATTTTTTCAGCCATCCACAGCTATTAATTAGGCTCAGAAATTAGACGTTTTCCAGATATGATATTTGAATCCTTCCCTAATTAGAAGCGTCTATCTAAAGAATGAAGAGGAAATCTTTCTACTTAGCTCTTTTCATTCTGTATTTTATAACACAATAAACAATAGTGATAAAAGAAAGTTCAGTTTGAGATAAAGTAGTAATTCATGAATGCAAAGAATATTTGGATGTTTGTATGAAATAGTAATAGTTTTCTAAACTCAAGGAAATAGGACACTGTGCATTGAGCCAAACTGTATTGCATAGCAAGGAAATCTACTTTTGAAGGGAAGGTTATGTAAAGTATGTGGAAATCACTTTTATTTCATTAGCTATGTTCCAGTGGCACTCTTTATTTTTTAAAGCAAGGCATGAGGAATAGGACAAGGCATCTGACACCTAAATCTGTAATAATCACATAAGCAGCTCCGAGAAGCCACTGAGTTCACTGTTCATATCTGTGTTCAGGATGTCTTAAACTTAGTTCAGTCATCTGTTTTTAAAGATGTCCAAAACAAAAACCTTTACAATTTTCCTACATATTATAGATAAAATTGACCAAAATTTATCACTGGGAACCATAATATGATCTGAGAGTGGCTAAGTATGAGAAGGAACCAACTGCATTTATTAAGATAAATTAAGGCACTGGATTACTGGTAAAGCAATTTTAGAAATGATTTGTAGTAAATGTTAAATGGCAGCATAAACATTCCCAAACATACATACTATGTCTTCAATGTTTTATGTACTTTTGAAAAATCAGGCACTTGAAAATAACTATGAAGTTATATTCCGAGAACCTGACACTCGCTGGAAATTCAACGTTCAAGAGTTAGCAAGGTACTTCTTTGTTTTTCTAGTTCCTCATTATGTATCCTGCTATTTTCAGGTATTTCAGACCGAACAAAAGAATCTTTTCAGGCTGGAAATGGACATGGTAGTTTTCAGGCCAGAAATGGTAATTCTTAGAAATTGATAACTTTGGAATTATTAATGTGAAGACTTTAAGATTTGGGTCAGTTTTCTAATATAATGCTAAATGCTAAATCTTGGCTTGAACTTGATCCTTTGAAAGGATGCACTTAACATTCTGCTAAAATGCTTCTTTATTAATGAACATTTAAAAGCACTTTTGTCTGCTTGGGATTGCCCATGTCAATGTTGTTTTTGAATTTAGGCTAAATAAATACCTTTAGCTGTTCAACACTCTGTGGTTTATTTATGGTTTAGATACTGCTTCTAATTTATAAAGCAGTAAATGTCCAAGTAATGCTAACTTGTTGATTGAATGCATGGGTTCTGATATTCACTCTCTATTTTATGTGATAATGTCAATGACTTAAAGTAACCAGTGAGATCAGAATTTACTTTCTATGAGTAAGGCCAGTTCATCTTATGGTTATATAAGCAGATAGTGTTTCCAACGTGGGTCTGTGGGCCACTCCCACCAGAATCGCATGAGATAGTTGTTAAAATCCTAGTTCATGGACCCCATTCAGTAGTAGGAATCTCTGGTAATTACATTTCTAACTATATCCCCAGTTAATTCTTGTGCCCACTAAAATTTAAGATTGTTTTAATAAGCATCTCTTAGAAGTATCAAGGACTAGTTGATGTAAATTGATAATAGATATGTGCATGATGTAAATTGATAATATATATGATTAAAAAAAAAAAAAACCTCATGGTGTTCTTTTACGTCTTGAAGTACATAGTTGAGATGGCCAGAAACAAAGCATTCCTGAAACATCAGCTCCCTCCTAGCTCCTGGGTAGCTTGGGGGTATGCAGGCAGCATGAAAAATAGTTGAGCCTGAAAGATAACTATGTAGCAAGACATTATGCTTTTGCCAGAGTTAAGTACTGAGACTAGGGCATGCAATATCTATGCAATAATACAGGACTTGTAAAATACAAGTAACTAATTTTAATATCCTGCCTTTACTAAATGTTTGCATTTTTCCATGTAGAAGAAACATCCATGGAGTCCCAAGAGAAAAAATACACCGAATGAAAGAACGGTATGAACACGGTGTTACCTTTCATAGTGTGCTTCATGCAGAAAAACCAAGCAGAATGAACAGAAACCAGGACAGGAATAATGCATTGCCTTCCAATGGTGCAGGATACTGGAATACCTACACAGAGGTTCCAAACCGGAGGGCTCATGGCAGCTTCACAAATGAGGGATCCTTTAACAGAAGGGGTGGTTGTCACCATGGATATTAGAGGCCTATCTTATAGCCATTCAGAATTTTCCTAAATCAGTTTTTACTTCAATATTTGGTATTCTTTGGTTTTAGTCAGAGCTCTAATTCCAGTGTAAATAGTGGAGCCCAAAAGTTTCTGAGAAGTCATTATGTTCATTATCTTTAACTAGCATTTGTTAAAGTGCACCTATATGCATGGTCTGATGCTGGGAATTCTGCAGAGATTCGATTAAACAAAGTCTCTTTCTCTAGGGAAAGAATGAATTTGAAACCGAAACCTGAGAACATACCCAAGAACATAATCATAGTTATATATGTTCATAAGTGAAATAAAGTGTTTATATTATATATAAGCTTCAGTACAACTTTCTCTGAAGTAATCTATTTATTTTTTCAAGAAATTCATCTCGATCAGAAAAGTTGGAAAGGTGAGGGAGGAAAAGTGGGAGGCAGGAAAAGTTTTAGCGCTGTTGCTACTTTGATAGTCTTTGTATCCACAAATGTGAGATGTGTTCCTCTGATGATACTGATTTTCCTTTAAAACTAATATGCTAGAAAGTACACATCTAAGGGAACATGGTTCTTCAAAGTAGACACTTTGGGAAGTTATTCCTTTATTTTAATATCATTGTAAAAATGTCTAATCCCTAATAGCTATATAAGCCACTGAGGGAAAATCAGCATCATTTATAAAGTCGTACCTTGTGTTTTAACCACTTTATTCAGTAGGATTAAACCTAACTTTTGGCTATTGTGCTAACAGTGTAAATAAAGTGTCTGTCTTCACAAAACATTGATTTTTAAAAGGAAAACCGATTTCTAAAATTATGCCTACAAATGTGTGTAATTAGTTGGCAGCCCAAATACACGGGAGTGCAAGAAATCAAGCACCCTAAGATATAGATCATACAGGGATGTGTAAAAACCATGCTCATTATATGATGAGCAGTCTTGATGTTTTATGTGGCATTAAGACAGAGTGCTATCACAAGTCTGGAATGTCCCACTTATACCGATAATTAAAGTTAAATTCCAAATTTATGAATCCAAAGTAAATTCCAACAGGTTGGAGTCAGATTAATTTGGTGTGATAACAGGATAGACAAGATCACGTAGGATGTATGCTCTATTTCTTGTTGGCCAACAGCTTCTTTCTAATGTTCTGTGAAGTATTATTTTAAGTGTCCTATATAAAGGTGCTTTTATGGTTACTGAAAATTGTATATGGTACTGCATTTATATGGACTTGTCATTGAATTTTTTTTTTTGGTTCGACAATAAAAACATTTAATTACCCAAATCCTGAGGAATTCACCTGTATAATAATTTCTTCTATATCATAAGCTTATTTACCAGTTTTCTTTAATAAATAGGAGGCATAAAGGTCAAGACAAAAGCAACTGTCTATTTTACTTGCTTATATAATTTGATCTGTGCACATTAGAAAGACTCTTTTACTTTAACATTCCATTATCTGACATTATTGAAATCTACTCAGCATCTTTAAGACTACCAGCAATGCATCTGTCATTTTTTCTTAACATTTAAAAAATTGGTATTACCTTTAACAAAGTTTGGCTGAAACTAATATTATTCCTATTTTCCAGGCCCAGGTGATCCTGGGTATCTTAGTCAATATAGTTACTACAGAACCAGCTCAGTATGGGTGGCCTGACTCACCTAGGTTAGCAGAGGGGAGAAATGTCAGAGCCCAAACTGGGAATTACCTTCTTGATTCCCCAGCAGTCAAAACAGCCAGATCCAAGCCGTCCTGGCTCTCTGCTTTGGGTTTTTGGTTCACTTAGGTTGAGTGAGTGGCCACTATGGAGAAGTGGCTCTGGGTTACAGATCCAGAACTTTCACACAGCATTGAAGAAGTTTCCTGGTCTATTTATGTCTCTTCTTTTCCTGGATGACTCCTGAAACACTTGGTTTGGAAGCATAAAAATAATTGAGTAAATACTGCCAACTTTACCCCATCTAGAAGTAATCTATTTTTCCTCTCAACAACCATCGCTCCTGACTTATGTGACATTTTGAGCACCCATTAACTTGTATTGTTTTGTGTATTACTGTGTGCCTCATTCACAGAGCTAGCAAGTGTTCCATATGCACAACAGGCTCTCATTGTTAAATAAATACCACAAACTGCTTTTATCATTTACCCCTTGTCATGCAGTATATGTTGTTGACCTTATCATTAAATTGTCACTATTTTTGAGATAATATACACATATACTCAAGCTTCATACTTTGTTCAGGTAGCCTGGTTGTTATTTACAATTTATAAGGAGTGTGTGCATTAGATATCTCTAAAACAGGTGGTCTAGAGTGACAATGAAAGGAGGTAATAGTAGTCTTCCAGAATTCAAAAAAGAAAAGGTTAAATTCTTATAAATGAAATTCTTTCTGTTCACCTGAGACTCAAGTTTTATTCCCTGTTCTAGAGTGGATCACAGGGAGCATGATTAGGATGTGAAGACCAAACTTTTATAAACAATACTTAAATCCATGAATAAGACTAGCAGATCACTTAAAAGGAATAGCAGAATATTTATGTTAATGCTTTTTATTTATTTTTACTGTAACATAGTTGATTGTAGATATCTGTGAGGTACAGAGAAGGATATCATTACCTGTGTGCAATATGTGATGCTCAAATCATGTTAATGCTTTTCAGAAGAGAGAAAAATCATGAATCACACTTATGGAAGGAAAGAAGTTGATTTTTAAAAGGACTTATTTTTGGTTTTGAAATGTGTTTATAATCATATTTGAAAACATGATATTATACATAAATTTCAGACATATTAAAACACCTGCTGTGGCTCGGTGGTTAGCTCAGCAGGCTAGAGGATGGTGTTGGTAACAAGGTCTAGGGTTTGGAGAGCCATGTCGGCCAGCTGCTGAAACAAACAAAAACATCCAACGTAAGAGCTGCTCCATGCTATTAGTTCCTAGAGACCGCATTATCCTTTTCTCTATTAAACGTTGAGAGTATCATCTTAAATTGAACTTTTATCTTTTTCTTGGCAGTAGATGTAAAAGGTGTTCTGGGTCCTGTGACTGTGCTAAAAAAGCAGGTAAAATCAGTGCCAATATGAAAACAAGATATTCTCTGAGGCTGCAGTCTGGATGACCATTTTGTTAAAAAAAGAAAACCTCTATAAAATCTGCTGATTTTTTTTTGCACTGGCCAGTATAGGGATTGAATGCTGGACCTTGGTGTTATCAGCCCCACACTCTAATCATCTAACTGGCCAGCCCTGATTTAAAGTGTTCAAATTTTTTTTTTTTTTGTCCTTTTTGAGACCGGCCGCACCGCGCTCAGCCAGTGAGCGCTGTGAGCGCACCGGTCATCCCTATATAGGATCCGAACCCGCGGCGGGAGTGCTGCTGCGCTCCCAGCGCCACACTCTCCCAAGCGTGCCACGGGCTCGGCCCAAAGTGTTCAAATTTTTAATTTTGAAGTAATTTAACTTTAGAGATCACATTGGAATCATAAAAAGGAGTTACACTGAGGGTTCTATTTTTCTTATAGTCATGCTGACTTAAGGATTAAGAATCAGTCAAAGAGAATAACACTGACTTTTGAACAGGATGGAATTATAGCAGAACCAACACATGCATTAAGGAAAACTATTTTTAGTGAGTTACCTCTAAAAAAGAAACACCCTAAAATAGGAACTAAACCAAAAGGAATTATCTGAGTCAAAATAATTGTACTTAGAAACCTCATTTCATTTAATCAATGACACAATCTAAAAAGGTATGTTTATTTCACTTGTAAAATAATACTTGTAGTGATTAAAGCTAATAATAAAGATTTAAAAGATGTTTTCCTTGATTAGTTAATAAACAGACGGTTGGTTTTAAGGTACAACTGAAATAAAAATATAGCCATATAGAATCAGGCAAAGAGCATCCTTGTGATATACAAACACTTAGGTAAATTTGGAACTTCTTTTCCTGTTGTGAAAAAATACTGATGTGCAGTTTGAAATTGTATATATTGTACAAACTGGTAAGGTTAGGAATCAATAACTAATTTATTGTCATTTTCACTTTTTGTTGCCTTTGCAATCTCTTAGATATAGTTTTTATAGTACTTGTGGCCTGCATTTTAGTTTCATATTCTTCTGTACTGGCTTGGGAATTCTCTCGTTCTTTGATCAGAGATGTAGTATAATGCCCTTTCAGTCCAAGATAATCTTTTGAACTGGTGGGAGTAGTCCTAGCGGATTCACTGACAGAGAGTAATTGATTTTCTCCTGCTGAACCAGATAAAAGGGCTTGGGTATTTATCAATGCAAGTTCTTCGTCAGCTATGGAATTACTTTCCAAAAGAGAAATTTCACTGAATTTTTGAAGTGGAGTCATCTGAGGAGGATTCAATTCTCTTTTCTTCACAGGTGTTTCATATTTGGTGCCACAACTCCGTGGCGGCTGAAATGCCTTCTGTGCAGCCGGAGAAACAGATGTACACATGGGACTAACAGGTGGAGGCAAAGGCAGTCTACTCAAGAAATCCAAGGCTTTTCTTTTTTTGCAGTTTTTTGGGTCGTCAATCTCTTTCTCCCCTTTACAAGTCTTTGAAGTCATTTGGGCTGACTCAGGTGTGGAAACAGACCTCCCTTTTGGCGTACAAAGTGATAAAGAACGTTGATAATTTATCTCACTATTAGGAGAAGACATCTAATAAAAAACAAAAAGTAGCCTATCATAATTATGTACTAATATATAAAACAAAATCAAATTAACTTTTCATTAAAAATACTGAAACACAAATCCCACACACATTCTCACTCCTCTAACTGGTGACAGGTTAGATGATTTCAAGAGACATTATTATTCCTATTCCAGAAGGAAATAATTTTGCTTAAGAGGATATAAAAATGACATGAAAGGAAAGATGAAGAATAATCATAGCACAGTAAATGACAAAAAAAAAAAGGGTAGGGAAAACCATTTATGCTTTAAGCTTTTCTTTTTTTTATTAATAGGTTAAACGAAGATAAGCATTTTAAAAACCATTTTAAGAGCACACACGGCCTGGGTTCTAATAACTACTTTCCCAGCATTGTGATGTTAGGCAACTACTTAACCTCTCTCTATGCCATAGAATCCTCATCTGTAAAATGGGAATAATCGCTATTATCTCACAGGGGTTTTGTGAGGATTAAATGAGTTAACATAGATACACTTAGCAAGCATTAGCTATTTAAGAACCAGCCATTAGCCAATATTAAAGACTTTACTTGATTTGATTCTACTGTGATTAAATGAGCTAAACTGAGCTTAGAAATAACCCCAATTAGATGGAACAGTTCTAGCAAAAAGAAACAGGCAAAATAGGCTTTTCAATCACATGTATTTGGAATGCTAAAAATGAAAGCACCTGTTTGTAAAATTTTCCTCCCAAAGGGCTTTACATTCTTGCTTCAATAAGCAAGATATAATTTCCAAATAACATATACCTACAGGAGCCACATAACAATTAACTACAGTTTCTAATTTTGTTTAATTACATTTTACCGTGTTTACTATGTATACTCCAGAATATGCTGTTGCCTCCATATATAATATTTATTTAAATTTACATTAACTTACCAGAAACTTATTTCCTGTACCAACGACTGTTTCAGCAATATGTAGCTCTGAAGCATAGTCTTTAGTTGGGGTAAACCACTTGGGATTATTTGCATTAAGTATATGCATAAGTTTGTTTTCTGCATCACTGAAAAATGTATCAACATTCTAAGAAAATAAATTAGGAAAGCTGTTTTGTAAATTGCAAGCCCACACAATTATGAACACATTTTCAGAGGGAATGTTTCCTTTAAAACCAGAAATAAAAATTCAGACCAGAACAAAAGAATGACACACCTAAAATTTGACAGCAACTGTCAAACATGACAATGCAAAGATGCAAGACCAACAGCAGTGATTTAGGGCATCCTAGTTGGAGGGAGAGAGGGGGAATGGTGGGGTGTGGGGGGGGAATGGTGGGGTG